CCCCCAGTCCCCCGCAGCCGTCCCCCCTCCCGCAGTCCCGGGATGGGGGCTGCACCCCTGACCCTGGGTGGGCCGAGCCACGGGTCCCCTCCGTCCCGGAGGACCCCAGTAACTTGCCCTGGCTCCGTGTCCAGCAGACGGACGGGGTCTGGGAAACTTTTGGACCGGACGGGCGGGCGCTTCGGGGTGCGTGCAGAGGAGCGGTGCGGGCGGAGCCGAGCGGGCTCTGTAGCCCTTGGGGGTCCCTCGCACGCGGCTGCCCCTGACTGCAGCCCCCGCGCCCCACTGCGGCCGGCGCCCGCCCGGCGCTGCTGCGGTGTGGACTGCGGGTCCCGCGGACTCCCCGGAGGGGCAGCTTCCCTGGACGTGAGGCGATGAATGAGAGCGCAGCCCCGCGGCCGGCGGGGCCTTTCCCACCTGCCCTGTTCCCCGCAAATGAACGTGGCGGGCCTCCCCAACCCCCTCTCTCCTTCCAGGAAAGCCTGTCGCGCTGGCGACACCGATGCCCAGACTGGACGACCACTGCTGGAGCTGTCCCTGCGCTCACGGCCCCAGGCACGCAGGCCGCGCGAGAGCCAGTGCCGGAGGGCTGGCAGCCAAAGTGGGAGAGATGATCACCTCCTCAGTGTCCCGCCCCTCTCTGCTGGTGGCCCGCGCTGCCCCGGACTCCGACCCCTCGCGGGGGCCTGGGGGCACCGGCGCGGGGGGCGGCAGCGCCAGCTGGCATCACCGCCTGGTGCAGAGGGGCCTGGTGCTGTTCTCCGTCGGGGTGGGCCTGGCTCTGGTGCTCAACCTGCTGCAGGTCCAGAGGAATGTCACCCTTTTCCCTGAGGAGGTGACCGCCACCGCCTTCTCCTCGGCCTGGTGGGTGCCTCCCTGTTGTGGGACAGCAGCTGGTGAGTAGGAGCGCGGAAGCTTGTTGGGTCAAAAGGTTCTTTAGCCTTGAGGAACGTTTATTTGAAAACGGAGCCGTCCTCGGAGGAAAAGTGGGCGTTTCCAGTGTGGGTGCGGCGGGGACTCCGAACCCCCAAACGCTCGCGTGCGGGGGGTGGGGTTTGGGGGGAGGGGGGGAGGAAGCCG